TAACTGTTATATGCTCTTTTTTGAACGAGATATCATTAAACAAATTAACAATGGTGGTGGATTGTATATTTGTGATATATTGGTGATATATTTATTACGATTAATTGGCCTACTCCCCATTTATTGAAAGAAATTGATCGATGGAATAAATTTGATTCAAACATTAAATTAAAAGCTCAAGTTGGTTATTCAACAAATTTTCTTGATTTATATATAGAAAATTTAAAAAATGGTGAATTATTTACAGAAGTTTATCATAAACCATCTTACGAGCCATATTATTTACCATTTAATAGTGTTCATCCTATGTATATGAAAAAGAATATTCCATTTGCTATGTTAATTCGTACTATTAAATATTGTTCACTATTTGAGGCATATTTAAATGAACGTGAAAAATTAAGAATAACTTTATTATTAAATAAATATCCTGGTGAATTTAAAGAGAAAAAATTCAGTTACGTATTTGAAAAATATAATATTAATCAGTCATTATCGACAAAAAATTATAATACATTACGAGAGAAGATGATCTACATGGATATGAAAGAAAAAATTTCAATTGATTATGGAAAAACAATGTTCATTCATTTTACCTATTGTTTAAATTTGAAAACATTTCCAGCAAAATTTCATGCTCTCCGGAACAAATGCTTTATTGAGTCTGCAATAAATGAAATGAAACCGGTCTTAGGTACTCGTAATGTTAGAAATTTACAACGACAGCTAATACGCAACCAATAATATTCATCTAATCTGATCTTGTTTAAAATTAAAATTAAAATAGATTAGTTATATTATCTTCATGACAACCTTTTGTGTCAGAAAAATCTTAAATATAAATTAACTTATACAAATTAAAATTAAAATGTGTAACTTGTAATGAAGAATTATATCCGTTACAATATAATTTAATCAAAATAGATTGGTTTCATTAATTTTACAAAAATCTTGTTAAAAAATTTGAATATAAATGAATTTATAAATATTAAAATTAAAATGTATAACTTATATTGAAGAATTACATTTGTTACAATATATAAGTAGATTTATTTCATTAATTTTACAGAAGTCTTTTTTCTAAAATTTAAATATAAATTAAAATGTTTTACTTATGATGAACGTAATCGAATATCTTCTTACAATCAAAATGATGAAAAACAAAAATCTTTTTAATATTACATAAATGATTAGAGTTGTTTAGTTAGGTGTTATTACAGCTATTCAAAGAGCCACATGTGTTTTTCTTTTCCTCTATTCTTCTTATCTTTTCTTTTCTCTTTCTTTGCTTTTCGTCTTGCATGTTTTGTTTGTTTTTACATCAGCATATATATTTTTTTGTTATTTTTTATCTTGTGCTTAAACATTTAATGCAGAGCCCTGATGGGTGTTTTAATATTTCAATAAAGAACATGAAACGCGTTGGCAAATTAAAATCTGCATCTCTTAAAATTGTTTTTTTGGCACAAGTCACAATAAATTATTATTTTAAAATTCATCTAAATCTCGACAAAATAATCGATTGCTGAAAAGCAAACACGGGGTACAAGCAGATTGTATTTGTCTTCCCCTCAAGATAGATAGGTCAGTTTGTTTTTCGATCGATTTAACAGTAATTTTATCTTTTCTTTTTTTGCCGTAGTTATGTTAGTGCCTTGTTTCAATTCAAAAATTGGAATTTGGAATTAAATTTTATCTTTTCTTTTTTTGCCGTACGTTTATGAGTGCTTTGTTTCAATTCGAAAATTCGAATTCGAAAAAAATTTCTCATTTGCTCGTTTGTCGGAGTTATATATGTGCCCTGTTTCAATTCCAAAATTCAAATTCGAATTAAATTTTATCTTTTGCTTTTTTTTTGTTGCTGTATCAATGTGGAAGTCGTTTCGTCTTTCTTTTTGAAGTGATGTCGAGCAGTTGAAGATTGATTTGTATTCGAATTCAAATTAGATATATCATGTTTATACGTGTTTCATTGGTATGAATAAATATGAGTAGGATAAAAAAAAGGAAAAGGAAAAAATTCCAAAAGTAGAAGAAGAGAAAAAAAAGGTTGCAAGAATATGAGTAAATAAAAGTAATTACTTGAGAAGATTAGAAGATAAAACTAACTATAAAATAGTGTCTGTTAATTTTCATGCTGATTGGCGGCAGTGTCCCATTTGTAACCGTATGATGTTGCTCTTGTGCCGCCTTTCCTATAAAGAAAACAGAACTGTTAGTCTAGTCCCTGTAAGATTAAAATGAACATTATATGATCATAGCATACCTGATTTATCGATCAACCGAAAATCCTCCTTCTCGTCCTCGTGCTCGTACCGATGTTGGTACTTCTATTGCTGCTGGTTCTTTTTCTGCTTTTAATGCTTCTATTGCTGTTGCTCGTTTTGCTGGTCCTGCTGGTGGTTTTTTTTCTATTGCTGTTGCTCGTTTTGCTTTTTGTGCTTGTAGTGATGAAACAGCACGGAACACAGGTTCAGCATCATTATCTT